CCAATAACCTGGTTTATTCATAGTCATTTCCAGCACAGACTCTCAGCTTATGAGATCAGGAAAGTGCCAACACTTTAACACCTGGATTCATGCTTCTAGATCAGACCTGTCCTTGTCTTCTGAAGTAATATTATCTGTATTAATGAGAATTTTGCTTTAATTAAGAGATCAGCTAAACAGATATATGAGAAATCTGATATTAGTTACAGACAGACTAGACAATTACATGATCTGAAATGTCAACTACCTTCTGAATATCAGCATTAATTTTAGCAGGCACTTATGTCACCTTCCTCAGATAGAGTTTACAGTACCATGAATTTATGTCATATTCTTGATTGCTCTTGCCAGTACAGAGAAGGGCAACTATTCTTTTGTACCTACCAATGTCCTTCAATAAAGAATGAAGTAACATTTTCCTCATTCTAGATTACCTGGTCTACCAAATTTAGTAATTATGCTATAAATCTGACTTGGGTCCATTAAGCAAAAAAGAATATAAAATGTCAAGGCAAACACTGTATTTTTAGAGCTTTTGTTTCTCTTGAGGAAGCAGAATATTTGTGTTCCTATTGTTTGTCAGGAACTTTTCCCTCCCACTTCCAGTCTGCAACCATGTTTTCAGTCAGTAAGACAGTATCCTTATTTTAACTTAGGCTAAGGTATATTTCATCAATACTACTTCATCAAACAATGGCCACAACTTCAGCCTATTTAAAACCATCTCTAATATTCAGGAGAGAAGTAGTCTAACAATATTTAATTATTAAGACTATTTAATATTCCAAAGCATCCATTTGGTTGCATGTTGAAAAAAGCCCCAGTAAAAGCTACTTGAATCATATCCTAAACAAGAAACCTTCCAAACATCTAACAGAGACATGAGTGCAGATGTAATGTTATACCTGGCATCAATCACACACAGGGCTTGGTTACAGCATAGATGGCCTTAACTCCCCCCAGACTGTGGAGGGTTGAAGGCTGCACACCACCACGAAAGGCAGTCTCAGATTAGCATCAAGACCTTGGATGCTACGATATGGAGGAAGATATGACTGTGGCAAGGACAAATAAGTTTCTTATACAGTGTTATCAATAAAGTTATTTCATTTTAAACTTTGTTGTAATTACATTTTCAGGACTAAATGCAAAGAACAATAAACTCTCATGACTGCTTTGTTTCCATACAGTATACACTGTTCTCTGGCAGGATTCAGTAGATAATTTCTGGACTCAATAGGAACATCACTGTTAAGCCTGCTACTGCAAGCCTCCACTACTGTTTGTCATTGAAAACTCTGTGTCTTAACCTATTTTTGTTGTTGCTGGCTTTATTGGATTATGACTACACAGCTCAACAGCCAGGTCAACAAGCAACATAACTCCCTTTTCTTTTTTTCTGACTCTCATCCCTCTTCAGGTACTCTGAAGAGGTCAAAGCACAGCTTCAAGACAAAAGAAGCACGTGAATGAGAAAGAGTTTCAACACCTGAAGAACCAGACTACTAGACTGTAAATCTTGTGGGGCTGAGGAGAAAGGGAAAAAGACTAGTCCTATCCTTCTTTCTTGTAGACTTCATATAGACTATTTACTGAGGAACAAAGAAACTACCAAACAAAAAAAAAAACGAACCAAAAAAACGAACAAAAAAAAAACCAAACAAAAAACCCAAACAAAATCACGCAAAACCAAACAAAAAACCCAAACAAAACCCCAACAAAAAACCCCAACAAAAACAAACAAAACATAAAGCAACAAACAAACAAAACAAACAAAACCAAACAAAAACCAACAAAACAAAAAAGCAAAAAAACAAACAAAAACCAAAAAACCAACCAAAAACCAACCAAAAACCAAAACCAACAAAACCCAAAAACCAACCAAAAACCAACCAAAAACCAAAACCAACAAAATCCAAAAACCAACCAAAACCAACCAAAACCAACCAAAACCAACCAAAAACCAACAAAACCCAACAAAAACCCAAACAAAACCAAAAGAAAAACCAAACAAAAACTAACAAAAACAAAAACAAACAAACAAAAAGGCAAAACCAAGCAAAACAAACAAGCAACAAACAAACAACAAACCAAAACCAAACACAACACAAACACAACACCAAACAACAAACAA